ATATATGTCTTTATCTTATATATATCTTATTTGTATTGCATTATATATATATCTTATATATATATTTTATATATATATCTTATACATATCATTATATATATATCTTATATATCATATATATTGCATTATATATATATCTTATATATATCTCTCTTATATATCTTTTATATATATATATGAGATATATATATATATATATATATATATATAAGCGGTAATAACATCTGAGTGTATTTAAACCCAATATTTTGACACTTACCCAGACATGACCTTCATAGACTGTCCCCAAGCCTTCCTGAGGGGCTAGGCAGAGTACACCTTTCTTCTGTTGAGAAGGCACTGGACAAGACCTTGGAACTTTTTCTACACAAGTTGTGTGACATGAGAACCCACATGCTTTTTGAAAAAAAACAAAGAGATGATTGTGCTGGAGACAATGGCTTGACTCCCTTTATCCCCATTATTTATTCTTGTACAGATTAAAGTGTTAAAAATGGCTTTCCTTGGACTCCCTCACATTAAGTTTCAGAGTTATTTTAGCTGCCACTAATGAGAAGATTTGTGCTGAGGCACTCTGGGAAAGATGCAGAGAGCCACATGCTAAAATTCCTACTGAACCAAGCTGGAAGAGAACAAAATCTGTAATTGCTGGTGGGGAGCCTCACTGTGGGGTGTGAGGTCACAGCTGCAGGGAGTAGGGACAGCTTCCAGGTTTGCAGAGAACTCTCCAAATTCCCAAGTGTTATCCTAATTTTGCAGACTCTGTAACAGCAGGGTCTTTTCTGGTCCGACAAGAAGCAACATGCGCTGAAGCTTGTAGCAGTGATGTTAACTTCCTGTGATAAGCAACTTCCATTTTGTGACATGATATGCAGCTGTCCCAACTCAGCAGAGGCCACAATGCTGGGATCGGGAGATGCTCTCAGGAACTCAGCTCAGATTCAGCCTCAGCAACCCTAGTACTTTTATAAACACCTAATTCCTCATTTTAAATCCCATTTAGTTTAGCGTGTTAGCACACATTTTGTTATAGACCTCCAGCTGTCACCATTTGAAGCAGGAAAATTGTCCCATTCAGTGCCATGTCCCCAGTGAGCATTTCAGCGCAACTGGATAAGAAAACCAATGAGTCAAAAGTCTGCCCTCTAAGATGAAGAATGAGATTGTGCAGCACGGTGGTCCCAGTGTATTTCAAAAATATATTGTTTTCTTTCAACAACAGTTACTGTGATAAGTGAAATGGGGAAGGGGTGCAGGAAACTATTACAACTCAAAGATGGCATTTAATTTTCCTGTCAAAAGAATTAGTGGACTTGATCTTCACCCTCTACTAGTGCTATGGAGAACAAAATGCATTAAAGTAAATTTTCCTCACAAATATGCCCCTGCCTGCAGACTAGCAAAGTTTGACTCCCAGAAATCTGTTTCACATAGACTGGAAGGGGATAAGACACTGTGCATTTGGAGAATGCACAGAATGTTCCCAGTCACCAATCTTTCCAATGTGAAACAGATTCAGCAACACTTTTAGTAGAGTCATCAGTCGTGCTTCTAAAAATCAAAGACACAAAAACTTGTGACATGAACGTTTGTGTCCCATGAATTCATATGTTGAAATCAAAACCCCCAATATGACGGTAAGTAGAGGATGGGTGTTAGGACACGCTTAGGTCATGGGATTAGCAACCTTATAGACAAGACCACAGAGTCGTTGCCCTTCTGCCATGTGAAGACACAGCTGGAAGACAGCTGTCTGAACACAGAGGGAGTTCTCATCAGACACTGAAGCTGTTTCTATAATCTCAGACTCCCGAGCTCCAGAACTATGAGCAATAAATTTCTGTGTATACCAGCCACCCAGTGTACTACAGCACTTTGTTATGGCAGCCCATGCAGACAAAGGTATAAAAACAAAGGTCTGACTCCACATACCCCCTCCTCAGGCCTTACCATCACAGATGCAGCCCTGCCTTATCAAACCCACCATCAGAGACGTACATTGGTGACACTTGGTGGGAGCAGTAAAGGACGTGAGGAAGAACTGGTGGGTCTTATTCTACAAATCAAAAAGACCAAACACGCATAAATGATTAAATAACTGAAAAGGTGGTTCTGGTGATTCCTTCAAACCATCCAGCACAAAGTACCATTTTATAGATGAGAAAAACTGACATTTAAGATTCATGCCTCTTAATTTCTTTATAACTGGGATATGTTGAACAAAAGATCCCAACAATTAACAAGAAGAATGAGAAGGTGAGGAGATTAAGTTGTAATCAAATATTGATTGATCGTATTTGGAACCAATTATATAAAGCATGTGCTTTATTTGTGTTGATATAGCTGAACTTCTGAAAAGATTCTTTCTAGAGTAAGAAATTCTTCAAATGTTTCTTTCCCAGGGGGTGGAGTGAGGGCCATTGTCTACGTATACATATTTTTATTGAGGATGGATAACAAAAAGTAATGTGGTTTTATACCTTCTTTGGAAAGAAAGAATAATTTCAGTTACATTTATCTTTATGGCAAATTATATGTTACATTTTTTACTGACATTTCATATTTCTATCAGTAAAAGATAATATGCAGATCACGTTACACTCCAAGTCAAGGGCTATACTGAAATAGCTAATGAAGCTAAATAACTATAACTGTAACAATAACTAAAACTACAAATGTCAAAGAATTATAAACAAGCTGATATTCCATTAAGGATTTTCAAGTTCTTAATCTTATCTCTTTCTCTCAAAATGATTATTGTCATAAATTAGCAAAATGCAAATTGTAATAAAATGCTGATTTCACCAAACACTAGTTGGCAAATGTTCTCACATCTTTGTGTCTGTTTTCTTGATCAGGTGAGTATCTGCTATGGGTATTGTGTGTGCCAGGCTACTCACTCCTTTCATAGATCTTCAATGTACCCTGGTTTTTAGCACTGCTCAGCCCTCTCCCCCCACCTGAGGGATCTGGGAATTCTAATCCCTATGCCCTTACCGGCTTTCGAGATGCTGACTGTCTTGTGACTTTGGCATAACCTAAGTTAGGAGTCTCAGTCCCACTGTTCCCTTTCTCAGGCCTTCCATCTTACCAAGGATGTGTAGATTTGTCTATTGTTTTTCTTTCTTTACTGTATTTTATTAGAAAGCAAAAATGTATACATGTTTTTAGTCCACAGTGCTTAACCAGAAGTCCCCAGGAAAAAAGGAAATTAGGGAGAAAAGGGAGAAGGGGAGGGAAGGGATAGAAGGAGGAAAGAAAGAAGGGAGTAAGGAAAGGAGGGAGGGAAAAAAAGGAAGCACTTAAGGTTATAATTATAATATCTTACAATCATACATTTATTTCAACCAGATGAAATCTTTAATGTGTGTGTTTTATTCTTAGTTTTCTATAATATATGATTTTGTTGATCTTAGTGTATGAATATTTTCTTATTTCTTTTCTAGGTATTCATTATATGAGAGATAACATTGATTATTTTATATATTTATTTATTTATACAAAAATTGTTTTATTAATTCAAGCAATGTTTTTAAAAACAAGAAAACCATCAATCATACTGTGCAATTGTCTCACATTCCAATGTTTATTATAGCCATTTACTTCCCACTTATTAAAATATTACTTTTCACTTATTAAAATATTACTTTCCATCTTAAAATATTCAAGAAATTGCTGAATAACAGTGATATGGGATAATTTTATATCAATCCTAGTTTTAATGGAAAGTTAATATTTCATGACTTGAAAAAATATTTGATACTTTATTTTACTTATTACTTTTTCTTTACTCCATTTCTTTTACATGTCTTCAACTTTGCATTTAAAATGACTTTAGAATTTATCTGGGACTCAATAATGAAATAAAGACTCCTCAAGCTGATTTTGGAGAAAAAGTCATTAGTTCACTACCATCTATAATTTCTGAATAACACTTGCAAAAACAGGCTCAATTTGATAATGAAGAAAAGTAGCAGATATCTGGTAGTACATGAGCTGGGATAGACATATATTTGAGTTGTGAAGTTATGCCCTCTGAAACTTACATAATTTTGTAAACCAATTTTAAATCAAATAAAAGGGGAAAAATAGATAACAAAACATCAATAGAAAACAAATTTCCTGAAGTTGTCACTAAATACTTGACTCCTGTTCTGAGTATATTCCAACTTTAAGAAATACTTATAGTAGGATATTCTGTTGTGGTTTTCTTTAATTAATGTAACTATACAAAAATGTTTGTTAAATGCTAAGGTAATAACAAAGAGCAAAACCAATTTATTCTTATCTATTAATGAATTTTCTAAGATTATAACTAAATCAAGTACCTTAGTTGGAAAGAGGATTCTACTATGATATTCTTTTTTCTTTATTGTTGGTGTGTGAACTGGGAGATGAGCAGAATCTACAATCTGAACCAAAGAGATAAAAATAAATGAAAACAAGTCACATTAACTCTAAAATTTCAAAAGTTAAATAATTTCTCAAATAAAGCAAAAGAGACATACTTATATCAAAGGCACATTAAAATTAAGCTGTTCATCTCCTGCACTGCTGGTGGGAATGCAAACTAGTACAACTACTATGGAAAACTGTTTGGCATTTTCTCAAACTGCTAAACATGGAGCTTCCATATAACCCAGAAATCCCACTCCTAGGTATCTGCCCAAAAGACACAAAAAGACTGATTCAAAAAGACACCTGTACCCCCATGTTTATTGCTGCTTTATTTACAATAGGAAAAACATGGAAACAACCCAAATGCCCAAAAGTGGGTGACTGGATTAAAAATGGAATATTATTCAGCGACCAAAAAAGACAAACACATGCTTTTTGCAGCAACATGGATGGAGCTGGAAGGGATCATGCTTAGTGAGATAAGCTGGAAAGAAAAAGAAAAATACCAGATGGTTTCACTCATAGTAGGAGCATAAAGGACCCAGGTGGGGGAGGGGGTTGGTGAAATAATAATAATAATAAT